GTTCAGCAGCTGTCTCTTCCCTATCCAGGCCTAATACTCTAGTCCTGTATTGCCCATCCCTCAGGTAGGGGCAACACACTGCTCTCCCAAATTTAAATGGGAGGAGCACTTCGGTCTTTCCACCCAAAAAGATTTCCACCCCGAAAGATTTCCTTTTAGTGTGCAAGAGAGAAAGAATGGCCTTACCTCAATGGAAGTTACCCCTGTTTATTCTAAGCATGCATCCAGACTGGAGGGAGTCTGCTCCAGATCAGGAACTCAAGATGCAACAGGCATCCTTTGTTGAGGGTGAGCAATTCTGCTGTGTCTCTGTATTAATGGGTGGTCTAAATCAGGGGTGGCCAAACTGTGGCTCGGGAGCCACGTGCAGCTGTTTCACACATATTGTGTGGCTCCCACTAAAGTGTCTGGGGAAGCAAAGGGGGCATGCCTCCCCAATTGGTCTTCCCTTCCCCAGCCAGTGCAGAGACCGAATGCAACTTGAACTTTAAATGCATTCTCAAAGCCCCCCCCCCAAAGCGGGCTTAAAGAAGGCATTTGTCTCTTTAAATCCCTTCTCCAAGCCAAGCTAGCCAGCATGGGCAGGGCTTGGAGGACACATTTAACGTTAAAGTTGCTTTATTTCCACCTCTCCCTCCCTCCCCCATCTGTTTGCTTTCTTTCCACTTTCTTTCCACCATTCTTTCTCTCTCTCTTTCTCCCTTCCCTCCCCATCTAAAGTTATCAATTTAATATTAATAAAAGCAAATGTGCCTAATTTTGAATATAAAAATGTGTGTAATATTTGTTCAGGTCTTGCGGCTCTCAAACATCTGATGTTTATTCCATGAGGCTCTTACATGAAGCAAGTTTGGCCACTCCTGGTCTAAATGTTCACTCATATCTGACACAAAGAGGTGTCAGTGGCTCTCTGTCAGGAGTCAGAGCCAGAACATTGAATTGTTCCGAGAGGGCGGTGGCCGGCCGGCCTGCTCCTTGAGTGCATGCGTTGGACCTCAGCTATTTAGTCAGCATTCAGTCTCAGTTAATTACTCTCAGCATTCCGCAGTTAAGGATACGTCTGCCCTTCAATCTCCAGTGTTGACACAGTTATTTCCTTCGCTGTGTTTTCCTCCAGAATTAAGCCCAAACAAATGGTAACCATATAAACGAAGCTCGTTATTCCTGTTTGGTCCTTGAACCTGTTTAACGTCTTCATTGTGCAATATGCTGATTTACTGCTCACCCTCTACCTACATGTGTGGACTGGTAATTTCCGTTTCATTGGATCTGAAGAAGTGTGCATGCACTTGAAAGCTAATGTCTTGAATAAAGCTTTGTTGGTCTTAAAAGGTGCCCCTGGACTCTCATAAATGCTGTCCTCTAGTAAATTAACAGTTTCAGAGGGTAGCCATGTTGGTCTACAGTAGAGCAGCTAGTTTTGAGTCCAGTCACACCTTACGAGACCAGCAAGATTTCTGGGGTAAGCCCTGACCTGTGTAGCCCAGGCAAGCCCGATCTCGTCAGATCTCAGAAGCCGAGCAGGGCCGACTCTGCAAGTACTGGGAAGGGAGACCCTTCAAGGAATACCAGAGGTGGGACGTAGAGGCAGGCTGAGCAAGCCATCTCTCTGAAGAACATCCAAGCCCCCCGTAGGGGCCGCCAGAAGTCAACCATGATTTCGAGAGTCAAACGTATCTGACGAAGGGAGCTTTGGCTCTTGAAAGCTTATACCCCCAAAATCTTTTTGGCCTCTAAGGTGCGACTGGAGTCGAACCTAGTTAGTCAGTAATGATCTCTAATGCCAGTTTAAAAAAACAGCGGAATTGCAAAAAAAAACAACAACCCAAAATCAAGTAAGGTTTTTAAAAGTCATCGAGGGTTTTAGGTTTACCTCTGAGTGCCACAAAGACAAATCAGAGGGCTCTAGATCAAATCAAGCCTGCCTGCTCCCTAGAAGGTGAAATGACTAAACCGAGGGTGTTCGTAGAACGGAATCATTGAGTTGGAAGGCACCTCCAGGGTCATCTAGTCCAACCCCCTGCACTGTGCAGGAAATTCACAAATACCTCCCCCCTCACGCCCCCAGAGACCCCTCTTCCATGCCCAGAAGATGACAAAAAAACCTCCAGGTTCCCTAGCCAAACTGGCATGGAGAAAAATTGCTTCCTGTACTTTGAGCTGCGGTGGCTCAAGTGGTTAAGACGCTGAACTGCAGGCTGTGGAAGGTCGGTAGTTCAGCAGTTCGAGACCCGAGTGCCGTATGATGGAGTGAGCTCCCGTCTCTAGTTCCAACTCCTGCCAACCTAGCAGTTCGAAAGCAAGAAACTGCAAGTAGATAAACAGGTACCACTTCGGTGGGAAGGTAACAGCGTTCTGTGCGCCTTGGTGATTAGTCAAGCTGGCGCCATGACCACAGAAACGTCTTCGGACAGCGCTGGCTCTTCGGCTTTGAAACGGAAATGAGCACCGCGACCCTAGAGTCTGATTCGACTGGCTTTCGAGAAAGGGAACCTTTACCTTTTACTTTGGTCACATTACAAGAAGACATGACTCAGTAGAGAAGACAATAATGCTAGGAAAAGTTGAAGGCAGCAAGAAAAGAGGAAGATCCATCAGGAGATGGTTGGACTCCGTCGAGGAAGCCACAAGGGCCCTCTGTTTTCAAGGCCTGTGCAAGGCTGTTGATGAGAGGACATTTGGAAGCAACTTGATGACGCTTCCCACACACAGTCACCTTTATGGTGCACCTCTGCACCACGGCCTCCTCCTCCTCCTCCTCGTCTGTGACTTAATGGCATTTCCCCCCCACCACCTTGTATTCTCGATGGAAGTTCAGTTTGTGCATCTTGCCAGATGACACCCAGAAGAAAGGAAGGTGGAGTCGGTCCACACAAACAGCAGATTTAGGGGAAGGCCGTGGCTCAGTGGTAGGGCACCTGCTTGGCATGCAGAAGGTCCCAGGTTCAATCCCCGGCATCTCCAGTTAAAAGATCTGGCAGTAGGTGATGGGAAAGACCTCTGCCTGAGACGCTGGAGAGCCGCTGCCCGTCTGAGTAGACAAGACTGACCTTGATAGACCCAGGGTCTGATTCAGTAGAAGGCAGCTTCATGTCTTCATGTGGAGGAGAGCAAGAACATGCGCCAGCCTGTTAAATAATTTTTAGGCTGTGACGGAACTCAGATCGCTGTCCTTGAGTTACCCAGTAGAGGCAAATCGTGTTTGGGATATGGAGGACTGGGTTCTCCTTGAACAGGTTCTGTGTATAGCTCCATGCTGTCTGTTCAGGCTAGCAGCAGTTCTTGAGGGTCTTGGTCAGAGAAAGATCTGTCTCGGTTCCCGGAGATGAGAAGGGTTGGACTCGGAGTGCGTCCTTCGTGTGCCAAGATGCCATCACGAAACTGTCCCCTTGTCCCCTTTAGATGCCTTCCCTCTGGACTTTTTATATAGGGTATCCCCCGCCCACTGCCCCATGTTTTGAAATGGGGACAAGAGTTTCTGGCGTCAGAATTTGTGACTTCTCATCAAGCTTGGACTCTGTCCAGTGCTCCCTCTAAGCTGCGGAGTCTTGTGAGCAAAAATTCTAC